CCTGCGGCTCGTTGCATATATGGTCGTGAATTGTGCAATATCTCGTGGTATACCCGCCTTCGGCGGGGGTTATTGCTTAATTACATCCTATTTGATATTCACCAATACATCCTATTTGATATTCACCATTACATCCTATTTGATATTCATCATTACATCCTATTTGATATTCATCATTACATCCTATTTAATATTCACCATTACATCCTATTTGATATTCACTATTACATCCTATTTGATATTCACCATTACATCCTATTTGATATTCACCATTACATCCTATTTGATATTCACCATTACATCCTATTTGATATTCACTATTGCATCCTATTTGATATTCACTATTGCATCCTATTTGATATTCACCATTACATCCTATTTGATATTCACCGATACATCCTATTTGATATTCATCATTACATCCTATTTGATATTCATCATTACATCCTATTTAATATTCACCATTACATCCTATTTGATATTCACTATTACATCCTATTTGATATTCACCATTACATCCTATTTGATATTCACCATTACATCCTATTTGATATTCACTATTGCATCCTATTTGATATTCACTATTGCATCCTATTTGATATTCACCATTACATCCTATTTGATATTCACCGATATATCCTATTTGATATTCACCAATACATCCTATTTGATATTCACCATTACATCCTATTTGATATTCACTATTGCATCCTATTTGATATTCACCATTACATCCTATTTGATATCCACCATTACATCCTATTTGATATTCACCATTACATCCTATTTGATATTCACCATTACATCCTATTTGATATTCACCATTACATCCTATTTGATATTCACTATTGCATCCTATTTGATATTCACCATTACATCCTATTTGATATCCACCATTACATCCTATTTGATATTCAGCATTACATCCTATTTGATATTCACCATTACATCCTATTTGATATTCATTATTACATCCAATTTGATATTTTCCATTACATCCTATTTGATATTCATTATTACATCCTATTTGATATTTACCATTACATCCTATTTGATATTCACCATTACATCCTATTTGATATTCACCATTAGATGCTATTTGATATTCACTCTTACATCCTATTTGATATTCACCATTACATCCTATTTGATATTCACTATTATATCCTATATGATATTCACCATTGCATCCTATTTGATATTCACCATTACATCCTATTTGATATTCACCATTACATCCTATTTAATATTCACCAATACATCCTATTTGATATTCACCAATACATCCTATTTGATATTCATCATTACATCCTATTTGATATTCACCATTACATCCTGTTCGATATTCACCATTACATCCTATTTGATATTCACCATTACATCCTATTTGATATTGACTATTACATCCTATTTGATATTCACCATTACATCCTATTTGATATTCACCATTACATTTGATATTTAATGTATCAAATCTTTGGAGGATTTATGGAATGTTTCCATGTGATTATTCATCTATGTGAATTATTTTTGACGATTCATATTCGAGGCTTCGAAACATAATTGTTATTTATTTATCTCAGCCATGTTTTAGGTTACCATACCAACTTTCCAAATGGCCAACCATCATTGTACCCTGTCAGACTGGCCATTGGGAGTGTCTTCCCTTCATTGGTTGGCCTTGATGCAGAAGATGTTAATCGCATCTATCCTGTATTTGACAAACTAAAACTCTTGCTCAGGGAGACTGGGTACGCGCATCTGCAGGCAACAAAACCAGACACTGCTGGTAAGACCAATCAATTGATCATTATTATTCCAGAGGCATGTTTAGTTCAGGGATGACATCTTGGCATTGTTTAGTTCAACCTAATTTGCATATATTAGCTGTCGCATAGGTATCACATTATCCAACAGATACCATATATATGCATATTAATTATCTCATTTGCATAATAATGAGCTCATTTTCAGATAGTACACTGATTTCTCAAGAACCGTCCAACACATTTCCATGAAACTTGGTAAATAGATTCACTGGGCTAATGCATTTATGATATTATTATTATTTTATTACATGCCTGCATTGCACAACAAATGGCGCACACTGAAGTGGCTAGCTGTAGTTTGAGGACCTGCACGTAAACTCTGGGCCCCAGAGCCATTTTCCAACTTGCAAATGATTTAATAAACGACATACACTATGTTGTATACACTATGTTTTTGGCATCCACATTTCGGCGATGACCATTACAAGTTTCTTTAACAGTAATAACACATGAGATGTTTCAACAAAAATCATACAAAATAATGATGATAGCTGTTACCAACTTGATTACTGTCATCGTCATATTGTTTTGCAAATCAAAACAGCAACATTGTCAGCTAAGTTGCTGACTGGTTTGCTATGCATGCTTCAAGAACGTAACGCTGTTATAACAAGTTATATTAGGTCAAACTAACCACTACATAGTGGATGTGTTTGTTTTTCAATTTATTTTATTCAATCGTATAATAAATGGAAAAATGAATGAATGGATAATTAATAATTAGTTTAATACAGGTTTTGGATTAAATGATTCTCCTGTTGGACTAGCAGCATACATATTGGAAAAGTTCATCTTCTGTACCAATCCACATTATCTTGACCTTCACGGTGGCGGTTTAGAAAACCATTTCACTATGGATGACCTGTTGACCAATGTTATGATTTATTGGGTTAATGGCAATATTGTTTCATCAATGAGGTTATACAAAGAATCCGTACCAAAGATCCTTTCCGGGCAATTGGAGTGAGTTCATAGAATATTTGTTTTTTTATTACATGTGCATACACCAACCTTATTAGAGGTCCAAACCTCCAGGGTTTGGTGACCTTTTATTATCGTTCTGATTGTCTTCTTCCTCTTCCACCATTATTGTTCGCCAAGCCATTTAAGAAAACTGCTGAACTAAATAGAACTTTTCTATACTGATAGTCCCTAATGCGAACTGGTGCACCTTGCTTTGGCAGAAATATTAGATCAAAATTAAACCTAACATGGCCATTTGACCACTTTCTGACTGTTTAGGCGATAGAATAGAATGTGTATATTTAATTCCTGCAGATGCATTATATACAAAATTCCCTAATGACTGGTGTTGTGCACATGGGTGAATAATTTTGAATAGACTGTTAGATGGTTATGTGTCAATGCGTACCCCTGCAATACTGTTCACTGGGGATGGTTATTAATATTATATTTTACCTGAGACATAGAAATAACTATGAAACACGAAAAACCATGTTCAATTGTGATACAGTACTTGTATTCTGGGTTCAAACGAGAAGCAAGATATTATTTTTGTTTTCAGAATTAAATAATCAATGCCAGAAAAATTATTGGCTTACCTGTCAGCCAAGAAGTTTGTGAATCCTCAAAACACAATCGGGTGTACAGAGCAAATAAGCATCTGCATTGTGTGAAAATAAGGAGACAATTACATGAATAAACTTTGCAATGGCAAAATACCTGTGTGAATTTGCCACCACTTGGTATACCACTCAGTTATGACCAGTTCATATACACACTTGCTTTTGCTTGTGTGTATATGTCATAAAATATTTTGTTAAAGCTAAAATTCATCAATATATTTTCACCATTCCTTTTAACAGACCAAACAGAACCTATACGTTGTACATTTTGTCAAGTTCTGATTCAAAGTAGCTGATGGTTTCAGTTTTGTCACTATAGCAGTATAACATAAATGAAGGGGAATATTTTCATAATAATATTTGTATTCATTCCTAGTGCCATGCCAGAGGTACCAGTGGGCATCGTAATATTTAAATACGAGTTGGCATATCTCCCAAAAACTTGGTGTAAGCTTTTGTTTCCTAACCTTTTGACGTACTCAAGAATGCAGAGAGGTGGACATTTTGCAGCATTTGAAGAGCCGCAGCTTCTTGCTGAAGATATAAGGAAGTTTGTCAGTGAAATTGTCAGAAGAGAGTAAATTCATGAAACTGATTATAAAATTCGAAATAATGTTAGGATACAAGTTTGCTCTGATTTGAAAAAAAAATGAAAAAGTATGCGTATTACTAAACAGTAAAACACATGTATTATTTGTTACCCTTTCATTTCGAACTTAAGGGTAGTTGTTATTACGTCTTGGGATTTTTGAATAATAAGCATTGTGAATTAATTGCACAATATATAAACCACTTTATAAAGCATGTGCAGATTCTCATTCTGATTTCCAATACAAATTATAACAAACTCAGCATTCACAAAACGTTGTCAAATGATATTAATATGTAGTTAACTGTGGAAATCATATAGAATAGAATTAGTATGATAATCATATATTATTAATCAGCTTCCTGTCATTAAATACAACTTAAGGAGTATTTGGATAATTCTATTTCATTTTTGAGCATTTAGAAAGTTAAGTGTGTCCAATCAATTGACCAATTATGTTTCTTTAATTGATATTATGTTACTTTATTTGTCAAAACATGTACTTCTTAAACTCGCATAGTATTTGTTCAAATAAAACATGAAATATATATATTTTTACCATTTCAACAATTTAAATACTTGCCGGATGAAAAGGCACAAAAAATTTGGGGTGTATATGAAAGAATAAAACAAAATCTTTGTATACTGCAAATTTTTGTTATTTGAATAATATTTTTCCAAGACATGTTATTTTTATAGAGTTTGTGAACTGATAACTCTTGATCTTTGTTTGACGATTCTTTCTTGACCAATTGGCAAGGAATGCTGCTGTTTGTGATGCATGGATAGGTGACATAATCATAGATATCAAGTAGAGGGTGCGCAACGACCTAAGATTGTGCCAATCCACTATACTATACACTATAACCAGCAACCATATTATCCGTACCATTGTCTACAAGATCAATGACCATAACTGTAAACAGATATCTCCACGTGTGTGAACATGTGTAGTTGAAGCATCATTTGTGAAATGGCAACCTATAGCAAATTGAGTTCCGATGTAGAAATGGTAATTTAATTACACCATGCCAAAGTTATAAAGCACTAAATCAGACTACCAGCAACATTCAAAATGGAATAGATATAGTTTTTACCATCTACAAGGGTAGTGTACGTCTGAAGCATTTGATAAATATATAAATTTGCATTCTTGAGTAAGTTCATCAAAATGGAAAAGATGCCTATATGCTGAAATATTTGCATTTAAATAATTCATTATGTAATCGTTTTCCAATTTTATTTCTTGTCATGTTGGATATGCTTGTAATGTCTGAATTTTATATTTTCCAAATTGTAGATCCGAATTTCAAAATTTTGCCTTTAATTTTGTTTGTTTGTTTGTTTGTTTTGAGTATGTTGCTAACTTTCTGGTAATTTTTGGTAGTTGTTTTCCCATTCATTAAAAGTAAATGTCTTGCAATATAGCTCTGATTACATTGTGATTTGTTGGTGTCGTATCATTACCCTGTCAGGGCATAATACATTGGAATGTTTCGGATTTGTCCTTTTTCATGTAGTTCAGTTTCATTTTTATGATATCCTGGTTAGTTGTGGCACTTTGTCATGATGTAATCTTGCCCAGTATG